ACGTTAATTAACTAGAATACAATCGACACTTGAATTGTTCTACTAGAAGAATATTTTTAATTTTTAAATTCATGTAACTAACTAACAGTATTTTTTAAAATTAATAGAATTTGAATACTTGATTTTTTTATAATTTGGTTTTTTAACTTTTAAATTTTGTAGTATGTTATTGAATATAAATTGATAAGTTTTATATCTTATGTAGTGGTTGTGTAAATAAAATAATCCATTTGGATTTATTAGATTTATGCTTTGAATATACTTTTTGACATTTTAAATAAGTTGTTTTTGGTTTTTATCATGGATTAATGTGGTTTAATTACAAGTCCGATTAACAATGAATTTATTTTAATTTTTAATTCTTAAAATAAATGAATATTATATGATATTTATAATACTAATTACTTATAAGATGATGGTTAGGTTTGTTTTTTTAAGAGGTGTTGGAGTCTTATTTCATTTCTGATTTATAAGAGGTGGTGCTGAAGTCTGAAACCTGAATCAATAAGACTATTTGTTTTGTAAACGTTTGAATTTGTTTAAATTGTCTATTTTACCCAATTTTTAATAGCATTGAATTTATAAATAAATTTATACAATTTCACGTATTTATTCATCATCATTACAAAATTTATATCTAAGTTATATAATTAGAATTTATTTAAACGAAAATATGTCATTAATGGTATTTAACACATTTAAATCCTATTAGAACACATCAATTGAGAGAAGTGATGATTGATTCGGTAAAGATCGACTGAGAGAAATGATCGACTAAGGTTAATCGATTGAGAAACGTCGTTGTTGAGAGTTTAAAGAACAATAAAATACAAATAAGATATTAGTTTACCTCTTACCAGATAAGATGACAAATAAGACATAAATGTCTCTGAAAAATTGACGAAAACAGACAGTCTAAATGACCCTACCTCTTAACGAATTAGACATAAAAAGCTTATAAAAGAGTTTTTTTTTATATAGAAAACGAACAACGCCTTATTTTAATTTTTTATTCCTTACAACATTACTTTAGAAACCATAGGTGAGGAGGGTGTGTGAGTTTATTTGTTGCTTTTGCCGTATATAAATATTATATACTTCAAAAAAAAAACATTACTTTAGAAGTAAATTTGCAAACGTTATCTTGTGATCACCGTAGAATATTGTTATTGAGAGTAATAATTATTTGTGTCCATTTACTTCGATTTCAGTTTAGAGAATTGATCCTTTTTGTAGTTTTTTTGCTTTTCAATAAGAACGAATCATTTAGAGCTTATATTTCAGAACTTTCTAGATTAATAGAAATTAAGAGCTACGAAATTCTTGTTGATTATGATCAGCTTTGCTCCCTTAGAGATGCTCTTAAGTTCATTTGCTTGAGATAATTCCTTAATTTAAAAATACATGATTCCAATTGTTAAATGACGATATACATGATCAAAAATCTATATAATGCACATAATACTGGTGTAGAAGCATCAGGTGCGTTCTATTTTTGTTTCAGTTAGTTATCTTCAAATGAACATGGCTAGCTATCTATTGATGTTGTTAGTCTGTAAAACACATTTTTAATGAAGATTTATTGCAAATTATAAGCATTTTGTTTTGATGTGCAAAACTTGCTTATTTTCCCCCCCATCATTGGTATCTATGATCAAGTTCTCGATTATACTAGCACGATTAATTAACATAAAAAATGGCACTTTGATGCCGGAAACGTGAGTGATTTACCTACAGTCTAATGAAGACCATCACATATATATGTTCCTTTTATTTTCTGTAGTTGCTTGCGGATGTGATTATTTATCCAAATGATAATAATGATAATTACGTGCTAGCTATGCTGCATGTTTATTCATAGTTTTTGTATTGTTTGCTATGTCTTCAAATGTGATTGTTAGTGATTTTATATGATTTCTTTTGTGTTTTGGGAAAATGAAGATATATAGATTATGCCAATTTTGTGGTGTTTAGGGCATTTGTCTATGAATTTATATGTGTTTTAAACGTAGCGAAGCCCATTCACAGGAAAAGGGGTCTTGGGTGTCGCATTTTGACGATGAAGTTTTGGATGTAGACATTATTTATGCGACTATATGAGTCCTTTGTGACGAAGACTTCACATCCACACACGTATTGGAAATCCAAGGTTGGGTAGACTTAGACATGTCCATTGCTAATCATAATTAATTTCAAGTCAAATGAAATAAATTTGTGTTCTTATAGGCTTATCCTTATTGCAACAAGCTTCATGCTTTTAGGGCCAACTCAACTGCCAAAATGAAGACTAGGCTTTGGGGCTCCTCCAGCTTCTAACAAGATCAAATTGGTCATGCTTCCTCTCCGGCCGGTCAAGCTATTCCATCCGGTTGCTTCAACTTTCTACTAGAGCACAACATCTAGCTCGATCCCTCTTGCATAACTCCCCCAAACATCCCAGATCTGATTCACTTTCAGAACCTATTCATTGATTCCTAACCTTAATCGAATGATTGTTTTTTGAAGTAATGGTCTAGTCTCAGTAATAAAATCTATACCTGTCCTGAAACTAGATTATAATCAATGTAGTAGAACATGTCTGAAACTTGATTCAACATATATTACTGCTTTCAATTTAGGGTGGTGTTGTCATTGCTTGTTATCTTTTTATGTTCTGCTTGAGTTTGTTGAGTTCTATGATTTACATAATTTCCTGTGATCGTAATGTTCGTATACTATTAAATTTTGTTGAGTTCATGTTGAACTCCTAATTGAATTCTTGACTAATCGGCTGTATAGATTACCCTTACTATTTTTTTAATTAAAATATGTTATATATATATGACTCGAGCTTTTTTTGTAATAGCAATTCAATCAAAATCATACAAGCTAAGCAAACTTTGGTCTTACAATAAGATCGGTTAACACTTCCTCTATGAAATATCATCAACAAAAATCCAGAAACAACCCCTTTGTTTCTATGCATAAACATATATCATCAACTATAAGCTATAAGCCTTTGCTTGTACACAAACAAACCCTCTGTTTCTATGCACCTCACATATATCATCAACAAAAATCCAACCATATCACAATCAAACCTCGAAATTTTAAGTGCTTGTGGAAAATCCAATTCACAATTTCAAATTTTAAATCTCCAACCCGCAAAAAACTTCCTTGCCATGGCAATCGATTCCTTTTTTAACACCTAACAGTGGAATCGGTTCCATTTCTACGAATTCTTTCCATTCTCTTCCTTTCAATTATGCTGCAATCCATTCTCTGCGATTCCATCATACCAAATACTATCTTAAAGTTTGAGATTTCAATAAGTTGAAAGAAAAGCTCGGTGTTTATGCAACTATAGCTTAATTAAGGAGGATGTTGGTTTTAAAATTTTAACCAATAATTGCGCAAAATAATCAACATAACTACAGAAATTTTTGTTCGCAGTGGCAAAAGATTTGAAGGTTAAATAAGGCAGAAATAGATAAGTCAGGGATACTCGGCAGAACTTGAGTTATTTGTAATTCCGTTCAAGGAAGTTATTTTTATAGTTTTTCATGTTCGAACGAAAAACTTGCAGATTCAGCTGTATATACCTTATATTATCTATGAGTACTTCTATTCGGTCTATGTAATAATATAATTGTGTTGGAATATTCCCAGAGAAACAGTGTAAAGCTTGATTCATAGACACTATTTCTTGCCATTTTTTTTCAAAAGTTTAGTCCAGATTCAATTCTGTGCAATTCTGTTGTTCAGATTATTAGCAGTAGGGAACAAGACACCATATTGCTTTTGGAACTAGTGCATGCAATCTAAGTTGGTCGGCTTGCTTTCGTGTCTATATATTTACTCTAGAGTTGAACCTTGATGGGTGTACATTAGATTATCACTAAATGTACAAGATTTCTTCTTGTCATTCTAGGGTCAGAGGTAGCTCAAAGTACCCCTTATATCCTTGCATAAATGTCAAATCCAGTAACCGAAATTTGATGTAAAAATATGATTTTCGTAAATAATATCCGAGCATATTCATTCACACATAATAGTACTCTACACAAATTTTATACGTAAATAATTTGAACAACTAAAAATCTAATAGATGAATTATCTGATCCTGTGTTAGAGTAATTAGCAATCTAGTATCAATTACTATTAAGTTTGTGTTAGATCTAGAAATTTAATAACCTATAAAATGGAGCTATTAAAGTAATAATTAAGTACAATCAACTTCACCTAAACAGGTGTCAAGTTGTCCGAAAAAGACAAAGGATGAGTCCACTCCCAAGGTAGGGATAAGTGTGGAGACCACATGCCATTCTGAAGTTACATATGAGTCGTGAAGGGGAAGCTTGTGCATGGCACGAGCTCCACGTGAATCCATCCTCCATTAACAGTGTCTTCAATTAATTAATACTTCTTTATGGTTTTGTATTTATCTCACAAACATGTATATTAATCTACTTTTCTAAAAGACATTTAAAAGTTACATTATCGTACAAGAATCCAACGGAAAAGAATGCAAATTTAACCGGTAAATCGTCACTTGTACTTTTGTAATTATCTATATCAATCATATATCATTGACGTCGAATTCAAAAGAAACATAAGAACATAAGTGCTTAAACACTTCGATGGAGGGGGTGTTCATCGTCTTGATTCATTTTTGAATATCTCGGTTCATTTGCTACTCAAGAAAATTGAAAAAAAAAACGAAGAACCAAATTGATATGTTGGATCAATATAATTATGTTATTGATTAATATTTGTATTTATAAATGCGAATAAGAAATACCGATGATCATGTGTCGACAAAAAGCTTTTATCATTTTTTATGTCAAGTAGAATATTTCTATCCTCTCAAGTCACTTTGTGTTTTGAAATAGAAATTAAAAATTAGTTTACTTTGTATGACGGATGAATCTGTTTTGTGATAATGCAAGAGGATGTATATATACACCAACTTATCATGCTCACTCTCTCATCAAACTTCCTGCAACAAGTGATTACCTAAAATACCAAAGAAACAAAGGAAAAAAGAAAAGATGCTGGCATTATCCCCTCCTTTGTTTTCAACAACCTACGGATGGCCCTTGGAGGATCTCATTGCCCAAAATCTTCAACAAGATTATTGCAATGAAGCAAATTCATATCATTCCCTTCTTGATTTTCCTTCGTTTGATCCAATCCAGCAAGATTTTGTACCCGAGAATTCCATTTCTTATGGAGGGGCCGTAAATGGAGGTACTGTCGATGATCTAATGATGGTGGCGAAAAAGCTCAATCATAATGCAAGTGAAAGAGATCGACGAAAGAGGGTTAATGACTTGTATGCATTTCTTCGTTCACTGCTGCCTATGTCAGTTGATCAGAAGGTATCTATCTATACATGTTATCATTCCTTTTATTATGTCAAACTGTAGATATTCGAAAGTCATTGGTATTTACTATTGGAGTTTCTGTAGATTTGGCGTATATATATAGACCAAAAAAGCGTAAAATAAGATTGACATCTGAGTTATGTTTTTCACAATTCTTGTAAGTGGTTTGTGTTTTAGTGGAACTATACTTAATATGCATGATTCTCTTTTGTGGCAGAAAAAAGTAAGCATTCCGGGGACAGTATCGCGTGCGCTGAAATACATACCTGAACTAGAAAAGGAAGTGGAGACCTTACTGCGTAAAAAGGAAAAGCTTTGGTCGTATTCATCGTCAACTGCTACCCCCATGCAAGAGCGTCTTAGTATCAAGAAACAAAGTGCTAAAGATGCTACAATCAAAACAAAATCCTTGGTAATTTCTTCTGTGAGCGTTTTAGGTGAGAAAGAAGCTGTCATCCAGCTGATCTCCTCAACGGACCATATGAGCAAGAACAAGGAAGTTGGCTTATTTTCTAAGGTTTTGGAATACTTAGAGCAGGAAGAGGATGGGCTTGTTTTGCTAAACGCGACATCGTTCAAATGTTCAGGAGAAGGGACATTATTAAACACTCTCCATCTTCAGGTACATACATGTATCATCTACTATGATCTGTCACACAACATAATTGCAAGTAATTTCAACATGTCCTTGCACTTAATCCAGAAAAACACCATATAACATAAGTGTGATATGCACAAACAAATGTATATAATTATCATTATGCACGGTATCACATGCTATCACATAAATGCCATTGAATGTACCTTATATGGTCCCCATCATGAGCCAAAATAGAAAAGAATTTAAGTCTGATCTTTGTTTTTCCCAAATATCCCCCCTTTTTATAATCGAAAAAATTAACTTCAACTGCTCCTAGCTTGCCTAGAAAATATGAAACAATTAAGTAGTGGTAATTCAATATAGTTTGCTACATTAATTGCCAAGATCAAAACAAATAGGTCCAACCCTATGATTGTTTACATAAATCTGGACTAAATATGTGAAACTAGCATAATTATGTCATATATCTATCGTTGTCTTGCAATGGACAAGCGTTAGAATTTCCCGAATATTATAATTAAATATCTAGAAATAATTGTAATACTTCATTTTGTTGAACAGGTGCAAGGTGATAAAAAGATAGAGGCCGAAAAGTTGAAGGAGAAGCTCTGCTCTTTCCAGCAATAGATGAATTTGACTCTAAAGTGTAGTAATTAGCAGGCTTCAGTTTCTAACATACTTTGCATGCAGTTCAAAATCTCATTTTGACTGTACATTCTGTCTATTTGTAGATACTAGTATAGTAGTATCAATGGGAAATGATAGTAGGAAATTCCCAAACATTCCGTTCATCCTGTGTATTGGTACTAATTATTCTCCATCAGTGCAATATTTAGTACTTCTGATCCATGGGCGCATGAATTAGTGACAAATGCTATTCGAACTAAATCCTCTGCACTTGAAGTAGAAGTTGATTGAGTTTTGATGATTTAAACTCGATTTTCTTCTTGTGAATTTTCTTTGTGATTATTTCATTGAAACCCGTAGCTTGTGATCAGGCAAAGAAAAGAACATCAAGGGAAAAATAAAACTATTCAACTTCCGGTTTCTATGCAAATCAAGTGAAGATGTGTTAATGTTTGACAAAGATTATGTTGGATCGAAACACAAACAAAGCAGAATTTAAGGATGATCAATAGGTTAATATTGCAGAAAATTGTATCTGCACATACGCATATATATAGAGGATGGTTGTGATATATATATATATATATATATATATACACAACACACTTTATTATCACAACAACCAACGATTACAACAGTTTACATAAATATATATATACACAATACTAAAGAACCGTGTACCTCTTCAAGACACCCCTTCAAGGCAACGATTCAGTTTGTAACTGCCGTAACAATTAACTATCCGTAACTGCTAATTAATGTCATCTACAGAGTCAGAGAAGTAATTGTTGCCCCATCATGAACCACACGAACATGTTACTTCGTCTGTCTCTCTAGATCTATCTTATTATTGTTTTCATACTAATTATATTGTGATTAGTTGTGCTTGTTCAAGTAAAACGGATCGTTTATTTGAAAACTAGGGGGTTAACATATGTTTTTATCATTTATGTAGTCTACCGACCAAATATAATTGACAGAAAAAAAAATATATCATGTACCAACTGGCTTTACTTGGTACCAACTTAATTCTTACCAACTTTTTTCGATTAATAGATGTTGGTGTCAATCATTGCAAAAATGGAAGTTACAACGTTCAATCGTCAAATAACGAAAGTTGAAGTTACAATATTCGAACAAAAGTCAAAATTAAAAACTAGGCGCAAAGTTTTCAAGACAACAAAATCGGTTAATAAGATGCCACAAATCTTTGTATTATAATAGACTATTTTATAAGACTTAAATTTATATGAACAAATCGAAGTGGATATGCATCCTATGTGGAACTCATGAACCATTCTGGGGGAGGGCAGGTCGCTGCTCAGAGCCCAAAAAGATAGGTGTCTAATTTTATATAATATATATAGTTATAGTTCAAAACAATCTTGTAGATAAAAAGGTGTAAGTTTTTTTTATAGTATTTAATAATAGCCAAAAAAAAAAAAGTTTATTAGTAACAAGGGCCCAACATATATTACATTAATTATAGAAGAAAATTTGTAAAGTTAAGAAACTTATTGCTTCTCTAAGTGTTTATGTGAGACCAAAGTCTCAACGTTATTGGTTATTGCTATTTCTCTCTATTTGATTGTTTACATGCTTTAACAGTTATTAAACTATGACTTAAAATTATAACCTTTAAGTTCGTCAGTTTGTTATTGCTATCTTTTCTTGGGCTGTGCTCCCCTAGGAACGACCCTAGTTCCAATTTTAGCGGGACTCCACTAGATCCCATTTAAGTGTTAAACTTATATCATGATTCTTTCAGTATTTTTTAATAAACTGATCGTCTTTTCTTCCACATTCTCACCGATCATTATTTTGTCTTTTTGTCAAGAAAACCTTGATAATCTTTTTCATCATTCATTTATCACCAACTCTCTAGCGCCATTAGTTCTTCGAATGAGTTCTCTTTTTATATCAAGTAAAAAAAATTTATTATTGTGAACTAAGAAAGTTTTCACATTTAAAAAATTACTAAACCATTGCAGATGTACAACTCATATATATATATATATATATATATATATATTTAGAATTTCAAAGCTACCATTGTTTTTTCCATACATTATTGACTTTTAATTACCTAATACACATTGAGTCAAAATCTTAAAGAAACTCATATCTATAAATAACAAGAATAAGATCTAAAACTATAACTGAAATGTGCTTTTGATTTTGTAATTGATAGTGCTAAAGAGTTTTTTTATAACCCTAATAGTTTAAAGAACAATGATGAAAACATATCCACATGGGATGATATAGAAACCCAAATATTATTTTCACACAAAATGTTGATCCAAACAGTAAAGATTATAACCCAAATATTGTGATGTATCATATGATGTACACTACAAGAAAACAAGGTATCATCGATAGTTGAAATCCGTCGATATGGAGACCCCACCACTGTTTATTTGGTTCATGAAAACAAATTCCATCGATAATTCATTGGAAATTGTAAAACTCACCGACGAATTACTGATAGCGGGAAAACGTGTATGTCCACATAGTGGGCACAATGTTCCCATAGTGGTGATGCAAGTATACACTGACATTGTGGTCGCTACAAGTAATAATATGGTAAAAAATTCATATCCACATGTAACAAATTTTAGAGCTTCGAGTAGTAGGTCGAGAATATACTGATTTTAACTAGAGAAGAAGAAAATATATTTGAGCGAGTTTGATGATTTTCATAATGAAATATAAAGAAGTAACTAAAAATGAATAAGAGTGTAAATGTCACCTAAGAGATCAGTAGTAACAAGATGGTCAATGATACGGGTCACAATAACACCACTATTGCCCATTCTTAATCTTGACGATTTGGCTAAGTTAACAAAAATATCAAGTTCTATTAGTATGAATATTTATAACAAAATATATTTGTGATATAAATGTTGACCGATATTTGAACCTTAGCAAATCATATATAACCCATATCTCTACGTAATTATCAAAGATTTTCTCAAATATTTGTGCAACACTTAAACCGTATTTCGAATCCGCCTATCTCTGGATCAAAGATCTAATATTAACACTTCAAAATGATTGGCTTATCCGTGTTGAGCTTAGGTTCGACTCAAGTAACCAAGCTTAAGAATTAGCAATGATGGAAACACCTAGATATTGCTTACTAGTCTTAAGTTTGACTCATACTCACACTCAATGGGTGCTTAGCTAATAATTAAAGTAAATAATATAGTAGAAGAAGATAAATGCTTAGAAGTTAAATGCATTTAAAATAAAATATAAATTATGCTTACAGTGTTCCACAGTGGACAATAGTGCTGAAAGTTAAAGATGTAAAAATAAATTACAACTACAAATATAAAATGTAAAAAAAAGTGGTTGAACTTCTACATGTTGGATCTCTCTTTAATGCTTCATCAAGGCCACTTATTTATATGTGGAAGATGATGGTCTTTACCTCATGGAAAGAAGTTTCTTTAATTTTTTTTTTGGGCAAAAGTGGCATTATTCAACAAATCTTGTGATATCTCCAAATCTTGAGAAATATTCGGATTGTATTTAACTTTTGAACCTCCAAATGATCTTTTCCAAAATTTCAAGAAATCTTTTCCATATTTTCAATCCTTACTCATATCTTATCTTCATATTATTTTGTATCAAGAGTTTACCCTTCAGTATTACCCTAATGTAGCTTAAATAAGCATAAGATTACATGCAAAAATGATATTTTTAGTTGTCCTCAAATTAACGTCGCACCCCCACAGTGGGCATACAGTAGGTACATTTCACAATTCAATATTTAACCCAAAAATGATGCAAGTAACCATAAAACATCCTCAACAGCTCTAAATAAAAATAAAATTAATAAAAAGAAGAAACACAAACACATAAGAAGAAAAACAACTAAAACGGAAGAAAAACTCACACAAATGATGTGTATAGAATGCTCAAAATGAGAGTTATCAGTTAGCAATCGAAGAGGAGGGCAAAAATTGGAGACACGACATGCTGAGTATGCTATTGAGTTTCTCTTTGTTAATTCAAATGATTGCTTTTATGCAGTAGTTTGGTGGACCCCCTCCCAATCTCCCTAATTAGATTATCGATTATGTATAACAATGTTTTGATAATTTTATGATTTGAAACTTCTAAATTTATGAGCAGGTTTTGATCTGGTATTTTTAAATTTTATGGGCAGGTTTTGATTTGGTATTTGGAAGATGATCTCGCCCAAGCAAGCGAAGAACGAGTAGTAGTTTGGGAAAAGAAAGTGGGAGGAAGCGCAAAGGGTTCTTTAAGAAGTCGAGGCCAACGACTGGTGGAAAGAGGCATAATGCCTGGAGGGAGGCAAGGTGGTGCCCCAAATGTGAGAACAAGCACTTGGACTCTTGCAATCCCAACCTAATGACGTGCTACAAATGTGGGAAGGTCGACGACTCAAGTTGTGTATGCTCTATTAAAGGGATCGTGTGCTACGAATGTAAGCAAATAGATATGAGAAATGATTACCCCAAGTTGAAAGACGTGTTGAGAGGGGAAAGCACGAGAAGCCAAACAAGGAAGGAGAGTACTCTAAGAGTGCAAGGAGAGCTTTCCAAATGTCGAATGAGAAAGCAAAGGATAAACCGGATGTAGTGTCGGGTAGGTTCATACTCAACTCGATACCCGATCCTATACTTTTTGATTTCGGTGCAAACCACTCTTTAATAGCAAACTATTTTTTGCAAGTGGTTTAATGTGTCTTCGAGTATTCTTAGTGATGCCTTACTTGTGGAACTAGCCAATAGGAAGCTAGTGGTGCTTCATGAAATCCTTAGTGATTGTATTTGGAAATTGGGGGAGAACGATTTTTTGTGGATTTACTACCAGTATCTATCAGATGCTTTGACATAGTGATCAAGATGGACAGGCTAGTAAAGAACCAAGTCGAGATTCTTTGTTCGAATAAACTCATATGAGTGCCTTTAGTATATGAGAATACAATATTTGTGTATTAAGAATAACGCAATAGAGAAATGGCGATCATTTCGACGATCAAAGCTCGTAAATTCCCATTGAAAGGGTGTTCATCATTTCTTGTCTACATGTTGGATGCCAAGTCGGAGAAGAGAAAAATTGAAGATGTGGAAATTGTTAATGAGTTTCCAGATGTCTCTCCAGATGATCTATCGGGCTTGCCACCCGACGGCCAAGTGTTTTGTACCGACTTAGTTCCGGGAGGGCACCAATAGCTCATGCATCCTACAATA